GTTTTTAATATTCATTAAAACAATAAATAGGTACCTAGTGACATCTAGTAACGAATGGCTCAAACACCAGATCAGTGTATCCTGAAATTTATAACTTACCGACCCTGACCACTAGAGGGCGATGGCATTCCGATATTGGTATTCAATGTGGTTACCAATAGAATTTTGTAACACCTTTCTTTTCAAATAAATTTCCATTTCATGCCCATATGATATGGATAAGTAATGTACCCGTTAGAATAGAATGATGTCCATGATTCGAATGTCGAAAGACATATTACGGATGTCTTTTTTATGTCCAATTGCACGTTGTCACATAATAAACGATTTATGGATATTCATATGGACGTCCTTTTCATGTCTGTATCGATAGATATCAATAATGGAACTCATTTGCATATCCAACGGATATCCTATGTTTACTGGTAAACTAATTGCAAAAGATTTTTCGCAATATCAATTTTGTAGCTCCCATAATGTCAATTTTTTTCAGGTGGAAAAGTCGGTAAAAGACATGGACAGATTTTGCTTTTCGCTTTTCTTATATTTTTTGCTTCCGCAACTAGAGTGGACATGTCTATTAGTATTGTAGCCATGACTGATGACAGAGCAAGTGCCAATGAGGATATAACGGTGAGTTGCTATTGGAAACACATTCAAAATTAGAGAACCGTCCTGGCTTAGCAGGGGTCCAATTGAATATAGGTACTTCGAATACACATCTTTCAGATTATGGAGGGTAGAGGCACAATATAGAAGTAAACACATGTACAGTGGTAGAGGTAAGGAGAATCGTCTTTGTGTGTGAAAAAGTATCCGTTGAAATGTGCTAAATAACGGTGGCGCTGCAGTAGCAACAGGGTAAAATTAAAAAAGGCGCTAAAAGTTATTAGAATAGGATAAGGAAATAAAAGAGGACGAAAGAACTTCCGTCTCGTTATGGCGCACTTTTCAAAATAAGGATAAAATGAAAACTAAAGGTTCATAATTATTTGTTTGCTTATCATTTCTTAACGCTTGATCAATATAACATTTTGGAAGTAATACATAAATGAAAAGCAGAAGATTATACTGCTTACAATTTATTAGAATGTATAATAACAGTATGAACTACAAAATAATTATTTAAAGCTGATAAGACGATTAAATTGATGTCTCCACGTTTTACCACAGCAAAAATTTTAGGTTATATTGACGAAATTGGTTTGGACTACGTAAATATATGAGGTCTTATACAGGGTGTAACATAAGTACGTTACAATATTCAAGTACCGTATTCCTGAGACAATTTTGAGAAAAAAGTCTATATGACCGAAAATGCTTCGTTTCGAAGATACGGGGTGTTGAAATTTAATTTTTTTGTTCGCTTTTTCAAAATTAATCTTGCAAAAAATAAGTTATTTGCACAAAATTTGGTACCCGAGGTTTTTTGACGTGGGAAATTATAATTTCGTATTAATTTTCATGTTACATCTAGAGGGCGCTGCGTACGCTATCATTATTTATTTCAAATTGTCCTAACTTTTTTGACAATCAACTTTTTGTACTTTTCATTAAAATGCTGGTCATACTACCCCTAAAGTATGGGTCGATGAAACTGTGACCTCATCTAGGAGGGCCTTTCTAGATGGACTATCCACCGGATAATACTGTGATTGTAATGGACAATGCACCTTATCATTCGCGACGGTTAGAGAAGATTCCGACAACGTCTTCAAAGAAGGTTGAAATCCAAAATTGGCTGCGATCAAAGAATATTAGCTTTGAAAACTCAATGCTAAGAGTACAGCTACTAAAAATTGTCAAGGAGCGCAAGCTTGAATACCAAAAATATATAGTCGATGAGATGGCAGCAGGCCAAAACAAAATTGTCCTTCGCCTGCCTCCATACCACTGCGAGCTCAATCCCATCGAGTTAATATGGGCGGATGTGAAGAATTTTGTAGCTCAGCATAACACCACGTTCAAATTTGCAGATCTCAAAGTACTTTTTGATGAGGCTTTGAAAAGAGTCACAGCGGAGAAATGGGAGAAGTGTGTTCGGCATGTGATATCGGAAGTCGAGACAAAGATGTGGAAGCTTGATAACATAATAGAGGCACAAATCGAGCCACTGATAATTCAGATTGGTGAGGATGACACTACTGATGAAGAGACAAATTCATCCAGTTGAATAATTTTGATTAATATTCCTTTTGATTTTACATAAAATAAAAATTATCAATAAAGAAATAATTACGTCTCTTTTCATATAATGCTTGAGTGCGCTGTGAAAAATCCAATGAAAATCTTTTTATATTACACATATTATCTGCATTTTTCCCGTTAAACTGCAAAACTTGTGCATTTCACTCGTTATTATAAAAAAGTTTTCCTAAGTATGATATAGCATTTGCGATCAACAAGATGTTGGTTCTGAATACGACCCTGGCCAATTCTTGGGATTTTCAATATCACGTGCGTAGGGTATGTCAATGTTTACATCCACTCTATCTTGGATTTGAATTTGCTTCAGGCCATAAGTACAGGAAGAAAACACACACAGATCGAAACATCATTGCAATATTTGCAGAGATTATGAATTTTTTCAAACAAAATAAAGACCAAGTAACTCGCTCATAATGTAGCGTTCTGTGAGTGAGAGAATATTTGAAATCAACATTACAAAAAACAAACCAGCGATATACATGCAAATAAATTAATATTGCCTCTTCCTGGTATTAGTTTTGTAATATTTGGTAATACATTTAGTATTTTACTCTTTGTTTGCCTTCCTTTACATGAGGTTTCCTCATTTTATGTTCTGGACAGACCTTCAATTGGACAGACAAAGGCCTAGTTCTATCTTCTTTTCTGTGGGGTTACATGATACCACAAACTGGAGCCGGCTGGTTGGCCAACAGATACGGTCCCAAATGGTTTCTTGTGGCTGGGATGACCACTTGCTCCTTATTAGGACTCCTTCTCCCAACTCTGGCAGTAACTTTCGGATCCTACGGTGTAATGGTTTGCAGATTTTTTCAAGGTATTTGCCAGAGCTGTGTATATCCATCGGTTCAGACGTTATTGGGGAAATGGGTACCAAAGAACGAGAGGAGCAGGTTAGGCAGTTTCGTTCATGCAGGTAAGTTTCTGTAAAGAAATTATTCCCATTGTATTTCAGAGATATATCCCCACAGGATCATTTTTGTGTAAGCTCCATGGAAGAACGTTCGCTGCAAGTGGCCGTCAATGGATCTCTCGAATACTTATATCATCAACGATGGTGTTTCCCAGTGATCCATACCGTCTCCAACCCTCTTCTTATTGTATATCAACGACTTATTGGAAGAAACTGTGAAACCAATATACAGGGTGTAACTAAATAAGTGTAAAACATTTAAGGAGGTGATTCCTCATCGAAAAAAAGATAGGATCTTTCATATAGAGGAACTTCATTGAAGCATCCCTTGTTGAGATACAGTCCCTTAAAAGGGGGAACATAAAATTTGTATAACAATTTTTTTCACAAGCACTGAAAATGTTACAATATTGAAATTAACCTGACGTTTTATACTACCAAAAAGACACTCAGCCAGTAATTTATTTGGTTTATCCCATGGTTGTAAGGGGTGGAAAACGCAACCCCTAACATTTATTTCCAATGTAACTTTTTGTCTTATTATTTGTATCTGGCTAAGTGTCTTTTTGGTAGTACAAAACGTCAGGTTAATTTCAATATTGTAACTTTCTCAGTGCTTGTGAAAAAAATTGTTATACAAATTTTATGTAACCCCTTTAAGGGGCTGTATCTTGACAAGGGATGCTCCAATGAAGTTTCTTTATATGAAAGATACTATCTTTTTTTCTATGAGGAATCACCTCCTTAAATGTTTTACACTTATTCAGTTACACCCTGTATAAAATGAAACAATTCGTGGACACAACTCTCCAAAAAGGGGGGTAAACCGCGGACACGTGTTTCTGGCTACTGGCCTAATCAGCGCGGTACAGCCAAGTGCAAAGACGTGCAATAATTTTTCACCGAAAATAAGTAACAATGTGTAAGCACGGAGTCAACAACAGGAACCAACCGCACATTTGTTGTTCCACCTAGAATTCCCAGGCTACATCTAACAAGACCACGTAGATAGCTATAGCTACCTGCGTGACATCCGGGTCCAGGATATAAATACAGATATAGATATTATCGAGTGTGTATGACCGATATTTTAGATTGTAATGTCGTTTGATCACTGGTTCATGATATTTTTCATTTATTACAGGTGGACCTGTTGGTATGCTGACAGGTACCTTGCTCAGTGGTTACATAGCATCAAGTTATTATGGATGGCCCATGGTTTTCTACGTATTTTATTCAACGTTGTTGTCGTGGTGTATCCTTTTCGCTTGGGTTGGCACCAATTCTCCAAAAGATCATTCGACGATATCTCGGGCAGAGAGATTATATATAGAAATCACTCTCAATCAGGAAAAACATACTGAGGTGAGTCAATGGACAGTATAATTTTCAGGAACGTTTCACTAGGTCGTATTCCTACTACGTCGAAATCCATCCTTTCCACTGAAGTCACCAAAATACGAAAGTTGTCGAAACTGAAATCAATTTTACATGACGGGAATTCGACTTGATAAAAATTCGACGTAGTGGGAATTCGATGTTGTGCAGATAATTCTACGTGAGAGGGATAAGTTACCTAGAAACAGGTAGTCACTAGGTCAATTCTCGCTACGTCGAATTCTCGTTACGGCAAACTCACCCCCTTCATATACATCACCATGGTACGAATTGAGTCGAAAGATTCCTTCTTCAGTAATAAGAAGAATAATAATGCAGGGAGTTGCGACACGAGGAAAGTATCAACATTTTGTTGGCCCGGTTTCATTCCTGATAAATCGTTTGTATGATGATTGATGCCGGAATAAAATTGAGGTTAATTCATGTGGTAATATTTATTTTTGTTATTCCTTGTGCACATGGTATGATTTAAATCGAAGTGCGGGATTCAACGATAGATGCAAGTTGACGAACGTTTATTTCACTATCCCAGATTATTTCAGAGCTATAATAAATAAAAATGATTTGTTTTGGTTGGTTTCTTGGTCTATCTCAATCGGCAACTCCGTCTGATCGATATAAACGTCAGCACAGTTACATGGAATTCTGTAAACTCCCGCTGATTTCATTGGATCTCTGCTGCCTTTTGTTGATCTCAGATACTAGGATATTTTATTCGTTAGTTTGAAGACGGTGTTAATCCAATCATCTAAAAGAACAATTCGTTCAGGCCAGTCTCAACACCCTACACAGTAGGTTAATGGACTGACACCTATCAGAAAACAACTACTCCCCTGGCTAATACCACGAAGGGCGTTGGATTATATCCGACAGGTTTTTTTATCTTTACATATTTTATATATACAATATCTTCCTAGGCACACATCTACTTAGTTGACACTCATCTATCATTTTGTATTTTACTAAAAACTGCATACCATTGGACTTGTCATTAATGTATTCTGTACATAACATGATGGAATAAATGAATTGAATTGAAATTGAAAAACAGTTTTGTGACTCTGAATTCTCAATCACCCTATGCCACTGTCAACATTTCAAGTGTTTTTGAGCACTTAATTCAATTTTTTACACAAAATTTGATGCAAATTCTTCGATCCATTTTTTTTCGCCGAACATGCAAAACATTTCTAACTTTAATGCATCTCACCAACGAACTGAACATGCTAAACAGTTGAAAATGTGAAGATACGTAAGAGATGAGTGTACCAATATGAAAAAAATAAGAAAAATCGCTAATCAAATCTACGTAGCCCACAAAATTTGTACATTCTCCTTTTATCAACTTGTGCCTTCCCTGAGCAGCGGAAAACGGCTCGAATTTATCCGATATTAAAAAAAGGCTACTCTAGCGATATCACAAACTACAAGGCAATTTCAATTTTATGTAACTTTTCTAAACTCTTCGAGATATGTGTGCAAAATGTTATGTACTCCCATATTCAAAAAGTTATTTCTCCTACTCAGTTCATTTCAATATTGTANTTTTTACTTGTTTCAGGGATTTCAAATCATTTTATATAGTAGACAATGGAAGTCCGAACTAGTGAAATTCATCACGAAACATTGTCAATCAACTTCAAACAACATACTTTTATACAAATATTTATATACTTACATATACATATTTTGTTTTAATTGTACTCTAATCTGTATACATTGTGAATAAAGTTATTACTATTATTATTATTATTGAAATGGACACAATATCACTATTGGTTAACCATATGAGTGTTTTACCAAGATCTAATTACAATGTGACGATTTTTCTTGGGGCTCCATCCAATGAATTTGCCATCGCCCTCAGAGGGTATAGTTACGCCACTGAGTTAGTGGAACACATATGTTTGTAAAAATATAATGAACGATAAGCCAAAGAAATGATAATATTTTCCTTAAATGAACAGATAATAATAAATAAGTACACCTTTTTTTTATACTTGACGAATAATATACCTATTTTAATTTTGTTCATTTACTGTCTCTTGAACGTAAGTTGGCCGACCTTTTTTTATCATCATTTGAAGTCGTAGTTAAAAATGTCGAAAACATATGAGAGTGTTCATACAGAAGTTACATATTTGAATGATGATGTGTACCATGGAATCGGGATAGAGAATAAAGGTAAATAGTGTTTCTTATAGCGTTCAATGAAATAAACTACTGAGGCATAGAAGAACCACATATTTTCTAAAAAATAAAATTAACCGGCCCTGCATTGCAAGTCTAAATCGACTACAGGTTTGATGATTAAACAAAACATCAATTAATTTATTCACATAAACATTTCTCCTGAGTTACTACGCTCATTAATGATCGGGGTGATTCGAAAGTGCATATAGATTATAACGACAAGGAGTCACATTTTCTGCTTCATAATTGTTCATATATAATCCATCTGGAGGAAATTCGATGGCAACATTAAACTTACCTCTAAATCTTTCTGTTTAAGATTTTTTTAAAAAAATGAATGACTCAACTCATGAATCGATGGAGTCNAGTTGACCTCTTCCAACGGTGGTAATTAATTTGAGACCTTATCAGTGCTCGACTGGCGCGTTCCAATATGCGTTTGGCTCTCTCTCCTGGGATTGGCGATTACAGTAAAAAACCTTTGGGTATGATGTTGTTGTCTCTAGCTCTGCACAAGAAGCTGAGGGAGTTTCTTCTTTGGTGAGCTTGACCATAGTCTTCTCATATCCTCGGAATAAGTCGCTGGTTCCGGGTCCGTACCGGGCATTCAACGTTTGATTGAAGATGGTTTCGTGGTGTATTTCATCAGTTGAATCAGTATTAATTTCAAATCAATTTATATTATATTTATCCGGTTCCTAGACATTTATCTTCTTGGTTGCCTGGGTTTTTGTGGCATTGAATTGATGATTTTTCTTTTGGTAGATTGATGGTGGTTGGATTCGTGGTTCAGATACTGTCCCGTGTGAGTGGGTTTTCAGTACCCAGATGTTTCCTACTTCCTCTTCACCAACACGTCTAAGAATGGCAATTCATTATGCTTCATTCTGCATTTAATTCAATTTGTTCTTTCAGAGATTTTAAATCAGATTAGAATCATCTTATACAATGGAAGTCCGAACTGGCAAAATTAACTTGATATTTGTTAGATATAGTGGTTTTCCAATAACCTCAGCAGCATGATGCCCTGGAATCATCATCGATCTGGAGATCCTACTGCAGAACTATTTTAGATCCAGAGAAATTAGCAAGCATATTTTGCTATTCCTACACTTGAAACCGAAAACAGATTTCACAACAATGGATGGTACCAGGCGTTGGAAAAAGTAAAACCTTGCCGTTTCTCAGCCTCTACAAGTTTCTTGAAGACTTCTGAAAGTAGCTTGTTGTGGAGCAATTGATTGGCGAACTGCTTCATTATATCAATCAGAGCTGTGGTGTTTTCTACTCCTACTACTGGAGAATAGGAGCGGGTTCCGTTGGATAATACTAATAAAACAATATACATAAACCAAATGTACTTAATCTTGTGGCTCAAAGGAATAATGGAACCTCTTAAATTTTACGGCAGAGTGAAGTCAAAACAAATCATCGCGTTCCAAGAAAACTTCGGAACTAATAACGGCGTGATCGAGTCTCATTTTACATGCATGAGAAACAAGCAGTGTCCTCTTTGGACGGCAATGTGTTCACATGCACTCTTCGCTGCATGGTTAAGATGCTTAAAAATATTGTGTGGTCTCGGTCTGCGTGCCTATACCTCAGCGAGAAGATGCGCCTCCGGGCTATGGTAGGAGTGTCTGGGCCTGTAACATATAATTTGTATGTCAACAAAGAATAATAACAGCTGACTTAACGAGTTTTCAAGTTATCTCCTTATTTATTTGTATATAGACTGCTCCGGGTTCATGCGGAGGGCGGTTCTTGGCTTATTATATCTGAAGATGTATGCAAATTGTTGACTGTATTTGTTTTATAAATCATGATTGAAATGTTTGACTAATTTCTATGTAGATGCGGTAGTTCGAACTTGCTGAACATTGGTCGGTTTCGGCTTTTTTTTATTTATTGAATTAATAACAAGGGATCCGACCATAGGCTGGGTCACAAATCTGGCTCCCATAACCGAAAATCAAAAGTGTCTGCCATTCGGAATGGTATCTGCCGGAGATAAATGTGAAAGCTATTTTCCGGGTTTTTTGACCGTGGTCTGCAGGTTTTTATGCCTAACGTTTCGTTTACTAGTGCGGTACACTGCAACCGTTACCACAGCGCTTTTAATAATAATATTAGTAATCGACTTTTGCGCTCATAAATACTCGAGGGTATAATTGTGGCACCCCCGGAAACCGGAGGCACAAGGTCACCCATCTGTTTTATA